GAGGCATATAGCCACAAGGATTATACTGAGCCTGTTCCTTCCACGCACTGTTGTTGTTCCCACAATATTGTTATATTATTATGTTCTGTACGTATTACTGTGTGTGGTAAATAAATGGTTTAAATGGTGAAGACAGATAGAGAAACCAGTAATGCTTTAGAAACGCATTGTTAAACACGCGAGTGATATATACAGGCTGTATATTTGAAAGTGGGACATACTTATAGAGTGCGTTATATTCCTGATTCTCAACCCAAAGAAATAATAAAGTAATGAACTTAAACTTTACAAAAAATATTTTTTAATTTTTTTTTTATCGACTACTACTTGAGCACAACATTAGTTATCGAAATCTATGCACATCACTATTATTGCTCCGACGCAGCGGCGAAAAGCAAAGCACAGGTCGGGGGTGAGGACGCGGGCGCATACGCGAAATTTTTCAGTCCACTCGCGACCTTGATCTAACGAAGACACGTAAATTATTTGTCCTTCCGCTCGCCCGATCGCCGCAAAATGGTTATTTATTCTAACGTGGAATTGACTGAGATGGTGCGACTTTACGCAATAAGTGGTGATAGTGTGAGGCAAGCTATTGAAATGTTCCCAAATCGGAGTTTACGCGAAAGAGGTGAACAGTGTCGAAGCGTTGCGTGAGAGGATTATCTCAGCATTTTATACTGTGAGACAAAATGTGTTTGTGTTGTACAATTTAAAACAAAATTTACTATGCCGTGCTAGACTATGCATTGTGGAAAACGGTGGACATTTTGAACACTTGCTCCGTACCACGTAAGTGTAAATAAACTGTAAATAGGTAACTAAAAAATCAATCATTGTAATTAATTTGATTTCACATTTTTAACTACGCCAAAAACCTCAATTCTTATTAAATGATAACTACTTACTAAAACATTTCGATGATAGTTCAAGTAAAAAACAATTAACATAACCTAAAACGTAAATGTGAAATCATTGTTATTGTTGCTGTCTCACTCGGCGCTCGCTCGGTAGCATTCCCATTACACTCGAAATTAAGCGTAAAGGGAATCGGTTTATTCCTATCTACACTTCAAAACACATTTGTTGATTTATTTTTTGTTCTATCCCATATCCTAATTTTATTTTAGTCTATGTTAAGTTGTAACATGATTTACTATGACATGTATGAATATGTCTCACTTTCAAATATACAGCCTGTATATAGATGGCACAAACTACGGGAGGCCTATTAGCAGTTGAGTTAAGTTGGGCTGTCAATGACAATGATGATGACTTTGTCGACAAAAATGTGAAACAGTGCGATTTTTCACGATATCAGAGGATTTCCGAAAAGTTCTTCGGTTTTGAGACACAAGCTTGGCTACAATCTCACCTTATGTTACTAGTAAATGACCAATGATGATACGCTTTTCTCTAGAAAGGCATGTCTATTATATTACAATTAAGTAAATGTTGTCTTAGTGTCCATAGTGTCTGGCACGGTTTGATAGGAGACGTCAGTTCGAATCCGGCCGGATCGAAGGAATTTTTCCTGAATGTTCGATCTTCGTATTAATAATTATAACAAACTAGTGGAGTACAACCTGAGCAACAACCTGACATTCAATAAAACCTCAGTTACATTTAAAAGCGACATATCTAACCAGTGCTAGTAGCTGTAAAGGTACCTGACTAGTTGAAGAAATACTTAGAATTCTCACAGATGGCGCTACGGCTAAAAAGTCGTTAAAAACCAAAAACAAAGATCCGACAATAAGCACGTTGAAAAATTTGTGAGGTCCGCTGGTTTGTTCCGTGGTTTAAGTTGGCAAAGCGTCTGCCACGCTTTGCTAGGAGACGTCGGTTCGAATCCGGAATAGGTGTCCGACTTGTGTATTAATAATTATAACAAATGTTTCATTCTTTCGATTCTCAATTCGCCAAAATAGTATTAGAATTTTTTATAGCGACTGATATAAAAAGCAATACAACGCACGTAATCCTGAGACAAATTTCCGTTCATAGGTTATCATAACAAAGGACCGTTTATCCCTTGCTTCACTCACTCATCGCTATCATTCTGGCCACACTAAAGTAGCTCAAGCTACTCTTGGGAATATCCTCTCGGATTAATGTTGATTTATTATTTATTTCGACAATCATTCGCTCCGTCGGTATTAGGCCCAGAGTCCGATAATTCAGGTCGAGCACTCTAAATAGTTGAAAGGCTGCTTTAACATGAATGAAAATCTTTTGATTTTCAATTATTCACGGTTCAGATACTGAATGAACCTGTAGATAACTATCCTTGGTTACTGTTTTGAATCTTCGGGTTGCTGTCTCAAAATTAGTTTCAAAGTTAATATAGAATAAAATATTATAAGCATTTGGGATAATAATTCACAGAGTATATGTAAGACTAATCTTTTTTTTATAAAAATAAGTGCGCTTTCGCTCTCTCAACTGATGGAAAGTGACGATGAGGTAGACAATGTAGCAAGCACACCTAAATAATGCCTATCCAGTTTTGCCTTGAAAAGGTCCAAGTTATAGCGTTCGGGGAACAAGTTCGCAGGTAGGGATATCCACTCCCTAGGCGCTCGCCATGTAAATGTGGAAGCAAAACGCTGCGTACAAATCATGGAACTATCCATAATATAGGGGTGGAACCCCCCGATGACGGAAAGGGGCAGGCGGAATCAAATCATGAAATTACATTGCAGTCTCCGTGATAATATCCTGTATAATACCGATAAGTAGGCAATCTTACGACATTAGTAGTAAGTATATTAACTGTAGAGCTCTTTACGAAAGAGCTTGTCCAGGGAAGCACTGCCACCATTGTAATTTGAAGGATAATATTTCTGGTGAATCTACAAGCAAATGGGACTTGTCTACTTTTAGTCTTAGGGTGAATGACGGGCCAAGAGACGTTGCCCCTTTTAGCGAGAAACGTAATAGTTTTACTTACATTTTATTTTGTTGAATATGCTAGCCTAATGTGGATTGTGTGCGCCTTGGATGTGCAGATTTCTTAACGATGTTTTTTCCGTCACCATTAACGAGAGTTATTGCTAATAAACATTCTCAAATGGACGTACATACTACCACGGGAATTCCAACCGTCGACCAAATAGAGAAACAATCGATCTCCCTCCAACCGGACTATTCAATATTACATTATTAAAAAAAGACAGTTCAGAGAGCGTGTTCCATACAAATGAAATTTACAATATTAGGGGTTAAAGTTTGAAATTGCCGTTTCGCACTGAAAAATTAAAACAATTTTTTTAAGATTAAATATATTTGTTTAATCAAAGTTTTTTCCCTTGTTGTCTATACATTTCTGCCATGTAATCGGAAGGTCATTTAAACCTTTGCGATAGAAGTCTGGAGACCTGGACTCCACAGCTGTGTGAAGGGATTTTTGTACTGCTTCCTGGGAATTTTATTTCCATACAAAAAAAAATCAAATTGCGGGAAAAAATGGTAGTCGGTCGGGGCGAGGTCCGACGAATATATAGGATGATGGATAATTTATATCTGCAGGTCTTGTAGTAGTAAAACTGTTTCTCAAGCAGTGTGAGGTGTTGCGTTATCATAGAGCAATAACGGTGAAGCTGTTTTGCTGCGAGTTCCGTGGTAGTTTGATACGGATCGGCTTCCATCATTACCTTCAATTCAACGTTATTTACATTTGTGACTGGTCTTCCTCGTGGTTCTTTCTTCAAGTCGGAATTTGCCGTATTGCCGGCGTTTGCCGTATTTGCGTATGCCGTATCCTCTCCAAATACAGCATTGACAGTTTCTGCTACGTTAACTCCATGTGGAAATTCGTATTCGAAAATTAGGTACTCAGATTTTCGCTGTATCTGTCTTCACGTTAAAAGCTGAATGTAAAAACAATTGAAAGTCGAACAATCAAATATCATGTTTTTTAAGTTAAGCATGTTTTACTTTTCGTGTGAAAAACGTTTCACTCTGAAATCGGACACCATACAGGTTTAACTTTAATTTAAAGTGGCCAGTAAAATAAATCGGCAATTTCATATTTAAACCCCTATTATTTAAATTTATGATTTTAGTAGCAGTAGAGTTCCTTGTGAAAGAGGAATATACATATATAATGCGAAGACGGCTTCAAACTTATAACTTCTCTCTTTTTGCGCCGGGTGTTAAAAATATTTGAAAATGGAATAACCAACATACAAAACAAAGTAAAAAGTAACCCATCACTCGAATAAACAACAGCACACGTTATCTTTAATCCATCGAGCGAGTTTATGTGAAATCAAACAAACTGCAGTTAATGCCTCGCGTGTTCTCTAGCAAACACTGAGCGGGTAAAGCACACTATGGGAATTGTTCAATAATCGTTGTGTTGGAATTTATAATGTACGGGGTTCTAATGACTTTATTTACATTTATAAGTGACTTCAAAATGGCATGTAGAATATTGTTCTCGTTTATCGGTCCTGTCATCAGGGTCTTCTGCCGTTACTCTGATTCTCATGAGTATACTTGATTTGGATTCTATCGATATCAGTGGTAGACGAGTCATAGAATTGCTTCTTAATTGAGGAGTCAGTTTTGAATAGTATTTTACTAAACTCTCGTTTTTGTGAAGAAAAACATTATAATGAAACTTGCATGTCAAAGAAAGTGCACAACTCTTAAAAAACGTATAAAGTCCCCAATCTCTTTCTTTATACTTTTTTTTTTATACCAAAATGACAGGACGAACAATTCGTGCGCCTGGTATTAAGCGACACGCCTGTCCATAACAGTTGCAGTGCCACTAAGAGCTTTAAAACGCAAAGATCTTAGGTGCTGCGCCTCTCACCCTGAAATATAAGTTGACAAGTCCCATGTGCCGGTAATTTCATCATCATCCTTGTCATTTAAAACCAGTATGCAGTGGCAGTAACTGCCACCACGACGTACTTCCTTGGACGATATATTTACCTAATTAATATAATAAACTTGAATTTACCTAATGAAAAATTTTATCTGCCTAGGTGAAAGCAACACCCTGGGCATGTCTCCAGTGTTGGCTTCCATAGCAGCGATGTCAGCTCTCTTGGCTACAGCGGTCTGCGGAGTACTAGCTGTGCTGTATCGACGACATTCGACCAGACACAGGCATTTGCCTGCTAAGCACGCTCCTTTGAGGTAAATTCAAATAAATGCTTATATTTTATTATTATGGTAGGTTGTGTAAACTAACATGACCATGTGACTTTTTGAAATTACTTAACATTTTCTCAATACTTGCTCTCGTTGGAAAATACACACATCAAAAGTGTCTAGGGATCAAGTACGTTTAAGAGTATTGCTGCAATTAGGGTTAATTATATTAACTTTTTTGTATCGCTATTGATACTTTTTAGTGAGTTTTAACATTTAAATAGGGAATATTGTTTAAAATTCGATAATAAGAAGAAAATCGATTGTCAATGTGGTTTTGTATAAAAATGAGTTATAGCGTTTTGACAAAATCATTACAATATCTGCATCGGAACCGAAACAATTTACATTATTATGGAGAGACGACATCATTTAACCCGAGAAGTGATGATGCGAGCCGTCGGAATGTTGGAAGCTGGTTCCAGGCAACGTGCTGTGGCTTTCACTCTTGTGTGTGTGTATTTCTACAGTTAGGTACTATCGCATTAAGCAAACCATTAAAAGACTATAAAACGTCAACTGACTTTGGTTGTCTACGCAAAACAGTGAAGGTGTTGAATCAATATAAAATAAAATAGTGTGTATACTCTGATTAGTATACGGTGTAAAAACACGACACCTAAAAATTTTTACGAAAAAAAAACACAAACTTACCTCGAAATTTTCAAGAATACCGGAGTATTCAAGGTACTTTACATATACCAATGATTTTTTTATATGAACTGAATTAAATAGAAAACGTATACGATACGTGAATATTAAAATTAATTCTTAAATATCCCGAGCCGCGCAATAGAACCGACTTAGTACGGGAAAGATTTTAATTCGAGCGGAGATAGTATCGACTCTTAAGCTACTTCGACGTGTAACAGTCGCAAAAAAGCTTTAATTTTTGTATTCTACAAATTCGGGCATTACGATGAACACTAGGTAATATAGTACCTGCAATGAAAACAAATCTGATACGAATCAATTGAATTTTTAACATGCTTGGTGATTTTTTATTGATTACATGTATTTTAACTGCTTCCGTGGCCGAACGGTTATCATGCTGGACTGTCACGCAAGAGAAGTCGAGTTCTATTCCTATTATTATTTTTCTCGTGGGTTTGGGCGTAATTTGAGGTTGCCTATGTATGTTACCATGGCACCCGCGACACAGGGTTTCCCAAGTGCGAGGCTATGTGAATCAAACAAACAACAAAAAAACAATGTTTATTGTAGTCGCTTTTTTCATTCTGCCTTCCTATTACAGCTAAAACACACATAGAGATAACTGGACTTCTGAATTAATACTTCAATTTCTTTTCCTAGTGAGCCTATGTACACAGACAGACCTCCGCACTGTCCGACACCAGTCAAGCAAGAGCCCGACTCCCGCGCAAGCAGCGCGGAACCCCGAGGGGAGAGGGGCGTGCGGGGAGCGCTGCTGCATGCACCAGATCCTGCGGATGACGCAGACCCCGACATCATACCTTCCTTGTATGGTAAGCCAAACGTTTCAATCAATTGAATTTTGTTAAAATACGAGTTTAAACCACTTGGATCCCCTTGACCCGTAGAACGTAAACTAAGTTTATTTGGTCACCTAGAAGAAAATAGTTTTGGCTGCCATGTAAGAGACGATCCATCGTTTCAGACACATTTAAATCGATAGTGTTAATTTATTATTATAGTTGTTATTACGTCGTTAACGTTTAACCTGAATACCAGGAGAGTATGACGGATCGATACGATCGGTCAAAACCAGGAATCATCTGTGTAGGGGGAGCCTTAACCGCGTCTACATCACAATTCATTTGTAGCGCCTTAAGCCTCGATTACTAACAGAACCGATGTCGCTAAAAGTCCCACATTCCAAATTTGAAACACTACAAAATCTTGATATTGACTGGCCGTAATTTCAAATTTAGAAAGAAATAACAATTCTGGATTGTTAATATAATTTAAACTTTATCCTGTTGACATATCGTTGAAAGTTCAATATCATCAATACCTATTATTACAAGTTACGACGTTTTGGTATCATTTTGAAATTGCAATCAATGTGCTGCCATCTACCGGTTCATTGCTAAGCGACGACGAATTGGAGTTATTAATTTAGTTCTCTAAAAAGAAGCGACCATATTGCAGGGGTATAAGCTTTACTTTCGTTTCTTGTAATAAACAAATTTATTAAAATACGACTTTTTGATGATATAAAATACAACCACGGCTAATATTTTCTTTTAATAAGACATTTTTCTAGGATTTTAGAGAATTTGCACGAAAGAATGAGACAACCATACCATACAAAGCGAAAATGGGGGACACAACGGCACGCATTCGACGCTAACTAACAACTTTTACTGTATTTATCGTTCTTTGGTGGAAACAGAGGTTATATAGACGATATGTACTATTGTAGAAATACAGTTTTAATATGGCCGTACCCGAAAATAAAGATTTAGAAATCGTCTTGCATTATAAAATCACGGAAAGTTGTGTGTCGCGTCCTTGTCGTCATAAACGTTAGTTCATGATTATAATGTTTGTCGCGAATATTAATAGTGCACAAGAAGCAATTAGGGTTAGATTTTATAGCATTTTTACGACTTGCAACCCAAATGTCTGAGAACTAGAAACATAAAAAGATATAATACATATTTGTATTTGTAATTTTTATCATAAAAAACTGATGGGACGAACAAGTAAGCGACGCGCCTGTCCATAACAGTTGCAGTACCACTCAGAGCTTTAAATCGTAAAAGCCTGAGGGACACCGCCCTTGCTCCCGATGCTCTAAGACATTAGTTGACAAAGTATATGGCCATTAATTATAATATGCTGATGAAAGAGGACGAAGCCTTCGATGTTCGCTGTCGGACATTGTCAGAACTTTGACTACTAAAATTCTGCATACATTTACACTACATGCAGCATAGTGTTCTTAAAACAACATGACCCTGTTATGGCGCCGATCTACAACAAAAAACAATCATCGCTAATCTAACTTCAATCTAACCATTTATTTACTGTTAATTTAATTCCTCTAGAACGGAGGCCCGTCTCCAACGGCTACATGAGCCTGCAGAGGCCCCCGGCCTCGAGCAAGATCAGCAAACCGGGCGAGGATATCCGCTCCGAACCCGATGGTGGACCCTTCTTCACCGACTTTAGGAAGAAGGACTATAGGATACCTTTAACTAGTGTAAGTTAATTATACCTCATTACTCGCATATATTTTATAGAAACATCGATTGTGCAGAAGTGGATAGTAACAATATAAATAACGTCCCTGTGCCTGGCCAACATTAGGCATACAAACATAATTGATACTCTCACACTCAGAGCTCACAAACGTGAAAAACACAGAGAGCGGGTGTGAGCCGGGCGCGTGTCGGTTCGGGAGCACGGCGGGTGTAATTATATGGACGACAATCACACTACGAGCGGGCACGGGATCCGACTTGCGCCCGTCCCGCGCGCACATGTGATATGCACTACTCACTCTACATATACGAAATTATAATGTACGTTAGAAATAATCTTTCTTCATTTGGTACTGTTAATGTTTCTGGCATCCCACTTCGCCGTACCGGTCATTTGAAAACAGTCCCCCGACGTATGGCACTTGCAGAGGAAAACCCGCGTGTCATCGGATCTACTTACTATGAGCGTTTACCCGCTACTCTCAGGCTTGAACTGTCTGACGAAACATTTAGTCATGTAGTTTAGAAATTTTAAGTCCATAAATGAATTTATGGACTTAAAATTGTAACGAATTGAGTATTTTCTATTTTTATTCTAATTTTTACCGCATTAACATACTCTTATATAATTTGTTATCAACTTATGACGATCCTTGATGGAGAATGATATTTGATATGTAATTTAATTACAACAATATTTTATAATGAATGTGTTAATTTTCTATTTATAGTGTATTTTCTTATAATTTTCATTTTTGTCTGACGATCTCAATATAATTTGCCGCCCTGCAGCAGCGCTGCAGCCGCGCGGCGGTCGCGTGGTGGCCGCGCGGTGTCAGCGCCTCTAGAAGTTGTATGAAAAGTGACAATCACGCGGAAGTCGCGCGGCCGCCACGCGGCCGCCACGCGGGTGCAGCGCTGCTGTAGCGCGGCTAATATGAACGCGCCCTTATACTTTGACATGTAGTGCAATTTATACTGAAATGTTATATTTGAGAAATAAATGAATCTGAATCTACCATATAAATACATGAAACCCGTCGTGCTCTCGACCCGACACGTACTCGCTGTCAGTGTGTTTCCAATGTTAACTTTAACCTGAGAATTCGATTTGGTTTTGATTTTATTTATTAAACAAAAACATTTTTGTTACAGTCGTACCATAGTTTAGGACGAGTTAACAAAGGAGTGAACGCATGCAGCCCGAGTTCAGCAACAGGCGTGACGTCATCTGCCACTGCGCACCGACTACGGCCAGAAGTCGTCACTACATCACATCGGGTGCAGGAGAGTTGTATATAAAATGTTTATATAGATAGTTAATTTATTGTAACGACTGTGTTCCTTATTTCAATTTGAATAGATTCCATTGAATACCGTTAGAAAGATCGTTGAACCTTTCGATGAAATGAATCGTTTGAATAACAGTTCGGGCCTTGCATTTACCAGTATGTTCTAGCTGATCGTTAAACCGTCAGGCGCAGCTGTATGCCATGTCACCGAAGGGCATGTCGCGCGTGGGTGACTGCGAAACCCAATCCGACCGAATCCTATGAACATTAAAAGGTTATTAAAAACGTTAATGAAATACGACTCTGTTGTTTTTCTCTTTATTGATTTAGGAACTTTGTGTTTTCGTTACTGGCAAAATAAATAAAGCGCTATTGATTAAAATAACAACCTCTCAGGGATATATTACTAACATCATAAACAGCAAATTTTCATTATTTTTCTCTTTTCAGTCATGTTAATAGTTCATCATATTTTACTTTCGAATTTAAAAAAAATATTGAAATAGATCGCCCTAAAGGGTGATAACTCTCAGCAAAACGCAGGAGCGCGAGTGGTGGTCATCGGGGCGGACGACTACCAAATACAGATCTAGCAAGTCAGTACAGAGTATTAAATTAACCGACCTCAAAAGTCATTCATCCCCTCGTTTGCCCATCTTAGAGGAATATTTTCTTCAAATCTAAATAGGACTTCTTTTCAACAAAAAAAGAATTATGAAAATCGGTCCACAAATGCCGCCGGAGTTATCGCGTAACATGTATACAAAAAAAAACATACAGTCGAAATGAGAACCTTCTCCTTTTTTTAAATCGGTTAAAAACTGTCAGGTAGTATAACAAACACTTAAGAGTAGTTTATGTGACTGTTACATAATGAAAGGCATTAAAAACGAGTGTGGGTTTATTAACATGCGGCTTATTAACATCACACGAGTGTTTTAATGCCTAATTATGTGCAGTTACATACACTGCTTTATCTATACACATATTATAGCTCTCTATGATGTGTTCAGGGACCCCATGTTACGACAGGCGAAATGGCGGTAAATAAAAACTTTCTCACGCATGTCACACAAGCGTACTTTTTATTTCATACATGGACAAACTAGAGTCGGCCCCAACTATCATATCGTTCGATATTAAGTAACTTATGAAATTTGTCAAAATTGTTTGATATTGACATTTCATTTCAAATTTATTTATTTATTTATTTATTTTATTTATTTTAAACACTAAGAATATTACAAAAATATATATACATCACACCCTTAAACCTACATTGGTTTGTCCGGGTGCAGCACGTTCTCCTTAATTACATCTTAATATTACATTCTTATATTTAATAAGCTAACAAAAGATTACAAATCTCAATTAGAAATTACATGTTTCATTGTTATACTACTACATTTATTTATTTATTTATATTTTTTTTTTTTTTTTTTTTTCTTAATAAAACTTCTCCTCGACTGATATTAGAATTGACGTCGAATCAAATTGTTTTGTTTTTCAGAGATGTTCGAAATTTGAATATAATAATAAAATCGAATTTGATGATATGATGAAGCAATAATAACGTTTTCACAGATAAGAAATTTGTTCTAACAAAACAGTTTTATGCTGGTCGTAATTTGAGTTTTTTAATACATCATCGAAGGGTTTGTGAAACCTATGCGTGTAGATAAAAGTGTTTTTTTGTAAATTTTGTAATGTTTTGTAATATCTTTTACGTTATGTTTATCATGCTAGTAATAGAATCTTGCAAGGTTGTTAGTATTATACAAATGACCCGCCCTATACATACATTTATTAAATATACATTGATTAAAAGTCAAATACATAAGCAGGATTGTCAACAATTGTTTGTTTATTTAAAAAAGTTCTTTTCAAGATACCAACAAATATTGTTTGGCCAATAGTAAAATTTTGCATCGAGTGCTAGAAGGCTGTAGATTTGTAAATATGATACTTATTACATGTAAGACTGTGTTCTTTTGTATATACAATTAGACTTCCACAAACTTGTATGCCGTTAGGTTCAAAGTAAATGACATAATCAATCAGACTGCATACTATCTGTACTCATTTTGTTTGAAATTTCATTTCTTAAGGACTTTATTGACGAATTAAATTTAATTTAACTAGATATTTACGGAGAATTAATTTTAGTCCACAGCCATTGACTTACAAATAAATGGACGACGGGTCTAATACAAAAACCACGGATAAAATGTCCCAAGTCAACCTAATTAAACGTAGTGATATGTAAAGGAATATGTAAAAGCTAAAAAGTTGAATTTAAATTGTAATGTTATCGCAGTACTGTCTAATTTTGCTTGCTTCGCTGTCAGTCGAACAAACGAAGACTAAAGCGTGAATGACGCTCTGTATACGATTTTAACGCCTTATAAGTTCGGACACTTTTTAGCGCGGTCCCGACGTCCATATAATTGTAAGTCAATGTCCACAGCTGTCCAATTCTGACAGCTCTTTGCAAACTCATACCGTTTTAAAATTATGGATTAGTCCGTGAGCGTGAATTTGATAGCTCTAAACTAAATGTACATCTTTAATAATTGATGATATACACTAATTAGTATACGGTATGGAAACACGATTCCTAAACATTTTCATGATAGAAAAAAAACCACAACCTTACCTCGAAATTTTACAAGGAAACCGTTGTATTCAATGAGTACTTTGCATATACCAATGATTTCTTTTTTTATGTCAACTGAACTAAATACAACACGACATATATTTTTCAAAGGGCTTCAATTTCGTTTTAAAAAAAAATAAATTCTAAAATAAGACTGTATCTCTACCGCTCCACTCAAGCAATAGTACAGATTCAGTACGGAAAAATTTTAATTCGAGACGAGATAGTATCGACTCTTAACGCAAATGACAAAGATAGATGATATCTTCAATTGAGATTATTTTAACATAAAAAGAATCTGTGTATGTAATAAGGCCATAACAGCAAAATTACAACTTTTCAGTCGATAACTTTATTATGCTTA